CCCAATAATTAGGTACTTGGGTTGTTGGGTAATAGTTATTATAATACAGGTTTTGGGTAAGTATTAGGTACTTGGACCCTTAGGCTTCTATGAGCAGCGTCACTACTACATGTCCTTTCGCTTCTTCTTTCCGGACTTCTTGTCCTTCTTGGACTTCTCCTTCTTGCTTTTCTTCTTTTTCTTGTCCTTTTTGCTTTTCTTGCCTTTCTTATCATCCTTGTCCTTACCCTTTTTCTTCTTCTTCTTGAGCAATAAGCTCGCGGCAGCTTGCATTCTCAGGTGGTTGTCATTCTTGTGGAACTTCCATTTCTGGTACACGTGGTCCGGCAGCTCTCTTGCCTTAGCCACCAGGTTTCCAGTTTAGGGTTCAAAGTAAACATCCAGAAGTCCCTAACCCAAGAGTTCACTCAGCAACGCTGCCCGTCCAAAAGAAAGAGCAACAGGGGGCCTAAACAACTGCCAATATCATATTGAGGTCTGCTTGATGCGCCCAAACTAGAATTATACAAGGAATCTTCTAGATCCAGGATATTGGTAGCCACAGTAGTCTACATAAGGGTTCCTTCTCAGGTTCCATGTTAGTTCGCAGGCAGGGAAACCCCCTAAACCCTACACCCCTCAGACCCTATAGATAGATTCTAAACCCTAAACACTCAACAACCTCAACCTAAACCCTAAACCTTTAACACCATCAGACCTAAACCCTTAACCCTCAACAACCAAAGCCCTAAACCTAGTCCCGAAGCCCTAAACCCCACCACCTAATCCCTAAGCCCCACACCCCACCACCTAACCTTTTACTGGGTTGCTGTTAAGGAACTTAAATTAAGTCACCATAATGGGTATATATAGTAAATAATACAGTTTCCCCAATATAGTAACTTAATTTAAGTTCCTTAAATCCCTATATTCCCCCAGTTTCCATTTCATTGTCCATGTTCTTGTCCATTTGATTCTCCATTATAGGGGGGATAATCCCTTAATTTAAGTTCCTTAACAGCAACCCAGGTTTAGCAAGCTTGCCTCCCCCCTCCTAAACCCTAAACCACACTCAACAACCTAAACCTAAACCCTAAACCTTTAACACCACCAGCCCTAAACCCTTCACCTAACCTTTTAGCAAGCTTGCCTCCCCCCTCCTAAACCCTAAACCCTAAACCCATTATGGCAACTTAATTAACAGCAACCCAGTTTAGCAAGCTTGCCTCCCCCCTGAGCATGTATCTCATGTCTTTGTCATGGCCATCCCGTGGGCCGCCCCAGCCTTGTTACTTAAAAGGGGGGGCTTAAGGGCTTTAGGGTTAAGCGGGGTTTTGAGTGGTAGAAAAATTAGGACTTTAGGGTGTTAGGGTTTAGAGTTTTAGGGTTTAGGGTTTTAGGGTTTAACGTTCAAGGGTTTAGGGACTTTAGGGCTCAGGGTTTAGGGGCAGTGCGGTCTGTTTTTGGCAACTCTCCATATAACATCCCTAGAAATGGCGCCTGGATTCCGTAAACTCTATACACTGTATTCCCTACACCGTAAACCCTATATTCCCTAAATCCTTCACCCTAACATACCAATAAGTTACGTTGGGCCCCCCACCCACTAGTAGTGACCACAAGAGGTAATGGTAATTACATTAAGGTCCTTATATATTCCTAGTATACCACTATTAGTGGCTGGGGGCCCAACCCAACCCATAAGCAACCTCCTCCATCCCAGCTCGCTGGAAGATCTGGTTTTCCAACGTAGAAAGCAGCTTCAGCCGCTCTCCTGGCCAGAAAAAAAGTCAATAGGGTTTAGGGTTTAGGGTTTAGGGAAGGAGGTCCAAGGACCTAAATAAGAGGGTTTGAGGGCCCAAATGCCATTCATGTTATAGCATTTGGGCCCTGAAGCCCTTTTATTTGGGTCCCTGGACCCTTACGCAAAGTCAAGGATTTAGGGCTTAAAGGGTTTTGTATGTTTCAGGGTTGAATTAAGGTTTGGTAGATTTCAGGGCTTAGGGTTTAATTAGTATATTTCAGCGCTTAGGGTTCTTGGGGTGGCTAACACAGGTACTCAACCCTCTGGGCGGGTTGCAGCTTACACGATCCTAAAAACAGTCATGAACAGGCCGCGGTGTGAAACATGTAGGAACAGAAGGGTCATCCCGACCAAACACTACGCTCCTGACCCTGAACCCCTGTCCAGCAAGTACGCCAAGTTGTCGCCAACCCTCCTAGATTCCCCAGTGTCCCCTCAATAATAGGGGTACCTTTTTTGTTTTTCCTAATGTTCCGTTTTGATAAGAAGACCCAGAAATAAAAAGGGAAAAAGGGTGCCACTGGGGTACCCAGCCTCAATAACAGCCAAGCAGAGGCAACCCTAAACATCCCAAACCGCCAGCTGGCAGAGCCATATACAACCCTTAACCCCTGTACGGCCCCCCTGAACCCTAATTGTGCCCAAATTCCCCAAAACTAAATACCCAAACCCTGCATGAACCCCAAACCCTGAATCCTGATCCTAAGCCCCATCCCTAAACCCTAAGTCCTGACAATTAACCCTACACCCTCAGTATTCCCCCCAAAAGATTGCCGCTGAGTGTCTCTTTTGCCTCCTCCTCTGCTCTCTCAACCGCCTCTCGCTCTAGCCTCTTCACTTCGCTTTTGGGCAGAACACCTTAGCGGACTCCAAGGGTTGATAGTCCCCCTTGAGTAGATAGAATATGGGGTATGGGGGGGATCTTATCATAATATACCCAAAGCCATATTCTATCTACTTAAGGGGGACTATAACCCTAAAGCCTATAAATCGTATTCTACCTACTTAAGGGGGAGTATAAGGTTCAGGGCTTAGGTGCTAGATGCTACCGGGGGGGGGGGGGGTCAAGGGGGGTGTTTAGGGTTTTAGGGTTTAGGGGCTCAGGGTTCTGGGGTTTAAGGTTTAGGGCTCGGCTGTACCGATCTAGGGGACAAGGTCCAGGTGCTATGGTTTAGGATTTTAGGTATAAGGCATAAGGTTAACGATTCTTTTGCTTAAGGGCTCGGAGTTTAAGGCTTAGGGGTTAGGAGTAGCTGACTTGAGGACACCCAAAAAGTTAAACATGCAGACCGCATGTTATACATAAGCTTAGGGTCTAAGGGGGCTCTAGGGCTCAGGGTGTAAGATTTGGGGCGTAGGATCCCCAGCAACCTAGATTCAGAAATGAGCACCTTTTTGTCTCGTATGATCTGTTTCATCAGGAACCTAGAACCCCAAAAATCACTTGAGGAGCTTAAGCCACTACACGCTTACACTCTATGGTAGGAATAGGTCTAAAAACCCCTGAACCCCTAAATCCTAAACCCTAAACCCTAAATTACAGTCAAGGCCGCTTTCCAAGTGGCTCCACACGCCGCCAGCCTCTGTTGTCTGCTCGCTTTTCTCTACCTGAATGGTTTCAAGTCAAGGGCTTTGTAGGGTTTAGGGTTTAGGGTTTAAAGTCTAAACTCCTGGCTCCTGGTATCCCCCTTAATGACCGCTCTAGTAGTCCCCTATATAATTCCCTATATAACCCCCTTTAAGGACTTCAGACCATAGCTCATGTAGAAAATTAGGCTTTCAGGCTTAGGTTTCGGGCTCTCTATATTTGAGCCACAGCCAATATTTCCTACTTTATTTAGTGGACATCGGCTCCATACAAGGGGTTATAGTCCGGACTATACTACACTACAAGAGGGACCCCGATGTGCACAGTTCGGGTCCCTTAATATGGCTACTAATATTAACAGTAGCTCGCACATACAGATATACATATATATATATACAGATAGATAGATAGATGTGTGTGTATATGTATATAGTCATATTTCATATTTATGCACTGCAGGCACCCCAAATACCCCTATCATAAAGGAATCCCCGAAATAGCTCCTCCGGTATAGCGGGCACCCATAGTTTCGGAGAAAACTACAAAGTCCAACGTCCCGTATTTAGGGGATTCACCTTGGATAACATCTGCAATGTCAGTGTTTAGGATTAGAGCTTAGGGATTAGGATTAAGGTGTAGGCCCAATATCCCTTGATTGGGACATATACCTACATTCAAACTAGGAATCCTGGAAATGTCCCCAAACACGGGATACTGGACCCAAAACCCTAAAACCTAAGCC